GTTTTCTATATTCAAGCTGCTTTACATACAGACCTTCAGTTCAATTTCTTGAGAAAATCAGAGACAAATGAATGAACCACATCAGGAAACAAAGATGTAGCAGCATAAAACGTAGCTGGCATTTTAATCAATAACCCCCCAACACCCAGAAAAGGAAGGAAGATAAATTTGACAAACAGTCTCAACTTAAAAAAAATTATTGGAGAATGTAGCATTTTGCAGCCAATGCTTAGTAATGCTAAAGAAACTTGAGTCAAAAAAACAATATATGTTTGGAGTCCAACGCACCATCTGATTAAGCTTTGCCTGACTGCCGGAACTGAGAAAATCAGACAACCAAATATACCAGTCAGAGCATATGCAATGGCGCAAAATGGGAGAGCCTCCAGTTCTTTTGCTGACAATGCTGTTGTTCCTAATCCGTGTGCACTGGAACAAACAAGAAAAGAACTATTTTATGAGATGGAAAATCAAGCTAAGCAGCTTTAATACAATCAAATTAACTCATGAAGTGGGTACCATGTATTCGAGCTAGTTATTTCGTGAACATGTGGAATTTTATCCTTGGGTGGTTATACCATGTGTACGAGAAACAAATATTTATTCACTAAATGGTAGACAAGAATGGCAAACAAAGCACAAGGAAGTGAAGGCAACACTAAAGCCGAGAGTTTTACCATTACAGTATGGTAACATTGCAACAATGGCCACATTCATCATAGGTTTGTGGTTTATTATGATCATCTGATGAATGTGACCGGATTAAGTTTAACCACAAGAAGGGTAANTTTCACACTTTAAATAAAACAATTCTCCCTATAATCATTTTTTATAAAATTATCTCTGAATATTAAAATATTCATCATTCAAGTTTAGGTCTCATATCATTACTCATAATTAAATACTAATCGTCGATCCTACGCATGCATGTCCCATGTGAATATGCTTATGACAAATATTATATATTGGTCATTCGTGTCCGGGTCTTACACGGTCTCAGTTTGAGTCTAATTTTCCCTCCCTAGGGTCTTTTGTGGCTGGTGTTACCTTTTTGAGGACTAGCTCTCCTTGGGAGAATTCTCGAACCTTGACTCTTTTGTTGTAGTACCGTGTAACTTGATTTTGATAGGCAACCACTCTTGTTTGAGCGTGTAAGGATAAATGCTACCCTTATAAAGAATGAGTCATCTCTCACGGTTACACACGGGGGGTGAATAAGTTAATTTCAATTCACTCAAACAAACATCAAATTATAACTTAATTCTACCATAATTACATCTTCTTAAAAATCAATTAATCAATTAAAATTAAGAATCCCTTTTACCAAGAACAACCCTATGAACCATGTAGATTGAAGTTATTGATTTGTCAATTTTACGATTAATTTTCAATCTCACACGGTGATCCAACCTAAGGCAAGCAACAATTAACCAAACCATTATGAATGATAAGAATGCTCAAAAAATCATATCATCAAACTCATAATGCCCCCCCCCCCCCCCCCCCCCCCCCCC